CGCTGCGGGGAGGCTGCTGGGTGTGAAACGCAGCGCCTTCGGGTGAGGCGGCGTCTGCCGTTTTCAGGCAGGTCCTGTAAGCAGTAGACTTCAACTTACGTGCTTCTGGGGACTTATGAAAACTTCCAGGTGCGAATCTGGACCCCTGCTTAGGCAACATAAGCCGTATGGTAATAGGCTTTTTATTGTTGCCTTGAAGTTTGGTTTATCTGTCTCATTTAAATGAAGCCCCTACAAACTCTTGGCATAGCTGAGAGGGTGGTAAACGGTGGCATGTGGGTGAAATGAATGCTGTCGTTGAGGGAAAGAAAGCCTCTTAGTCTGGCTTTGAGACTAGAGGAAACGGAATGTAAAAATCGAGCGTGTTACTTTTGTTGGGCGGATCTCAGATCATTGCTGTAGAAGAAATCTCTTCTTTTTTGAAATAGTAGACTTCCGACAGGGAAGTTGTTGTGAAACTACTTGTATGCGTTCATGATAAATGTACTTAATAACCAGAATTCAGAGCAGTGAAATTTCAGTCTTTGCTTCAATATGTATTTGTATAATCCCTGACTGTGTGTAGAAACACGAGGCGGCACTAGTTATGTATCTTGACTGGGGGCTGCAACGCACTTGCTGAGCATTCTCAAATAACTATATTATTTGCTACCAGTATCCACTTCAAGCTTGCTGATTATTTGATATTCTGTTAAAAGAGTTTATCCAAAAGAACTTCTGCAAAAAGAGTTGTTTATAGTTTGCTTTTCAGATATGATTCATGAAACAAATTGGGTTGTCATTCACAAAAAGGTCAATTCAGAAGACTGGATGGAGGTCTTTAGAAAAGAGCTGTATATGAGGAATGATTGGCCTATTAGGAAAACTTCTTTCAGTAGCATGTTGATCCAGATTCTTTTTGGTTTAAGGCTGGGATATTTTGGAAGCTGCAATCAGGAAATTTAATGGTTTAGCCTGTGTATTCAAACTCTTGCAAACTGTCTTTGTTTGTAGCGTATGATAAACCTCACAGAGTTGACCCCTTACATCCTGTGCTCCATCTGCAAAGGTTACTTTATTGATGCTACAACTATTACAGAATGTCTGCACACCTGTAAGTATCAGTATTGTCATTCTATGAGTTTAGTTGCAAATTCAAACAAAAATTAGCTGTTGAGGTGTCCTGGCTTCACAAAGATAATTCTCTGTTTGATGTGAATGTGTTTTGTGTTTATTCTGTTCCTTAGAGAAAATATATTTGTGGATATTTTAAGCATCAGGAAATCATGAAATCAATCGTGAAGTCAGCTTAGTTTCCCAGGTTAA